AAGATGGCCCACTGAGTGCAGTAAGTATATTGATAAATAGATAGGCCAGGCATGGTGGCTCACACCTGTAATCCCAGCACTTTGGGAGGCCAAGGCAGGCGGATCATGAGGTCAAGAGATCAAGACTATCCTGGCTAACATGGTGAAACTCCATCTCTACTTAAAATACAAAAATTAGCTGGGCATGGCCTGTAGTCCCAGCTACTCAGGAGGCTGAGGCAGGGGAATCGCTTGAACCCCAGAGGCAGAGGTTGCAGTGAGTCGAGATCGCGCCCCTGCACTCCAGCCTGGCAACAGAGCCAGACTCCGTCTCAAAAATAATAATAATAAATTGGGAAAACATGAATCCCCTGGTGAAAGAGAAATTCTGAGCAGGTGGCTCTGGGTAGCCAGCCATGGGTTGGAATTCAAGGCAGAACCTGTAGCTGAGGGATAGAGTCAGGAACAGCCTTTGCGGTTTTCTTTTCATGTTAGTTCAACTAGAATTAACTTTATCCTGAACTTACGTGCAAGCAGGCATTGACATTTTGGTAGATTTCCGGTCTGTAGCTTCTGAGAATGGCAGCCAGACCTGGACAGTGGCTTAGAGGGCAGCTGGGAGCATTGGGAAGGTGCTCTGGGGAAATTGTCAGGTTTTTTGGCTGTGGACCAGGGAGAAGTAGAAGTGAAGTAAAGCCTGCAAAAGTTTTTGTCTGGATGGAGAAATGATATAAATCCAGCTAACTCTAGATAGTGATAGAAACATATGTTTCTTAGGTATGCTTAAATTTTATGTGTAATTCTTAGAAAACTAAAAAGATTATGTGATTTCCAAACCATTGGTGAAAGAAATGGAACAAAAGTTGGTCAATTTTTAAAAAACAAAACAGGAAAGAGTGGAGTGGGGAAGGAATAAGCAGGGATGCCAAGTTGGGAAATATAAAATAAGATCAAGAGATATGTCCGTACATCATATCAGTAATAACTGAATTAATTAAATTTTGCCATTAAATAGAAATTGTAGCATAGAGTAAAAAAGAAAGAAAATTTAGAAAGGATGATGCAAGACACGGGACATGGGAAAGACACACATACACACACCACACACACAGAGACACACACCACACACACAGACACACATATACACACACAGAGGCACACACCACACACACGCACACACATCACACATACACCACAGACCACAGATGCATACACACCACACAGATACACACCACACACACGCACACACCAAACACACACCACACACAGACACACATACCACACACACCACACACACACATCACACACCCACCACAAACACACACCACGCTCCATACACCTATGCACACACCACACACACTACACAACACACGTGTGCACACAAATACTACACACACATCTGCACACACATACCACAAACACATACACATCACATGCACACACACCACACACACACAGACACACATACACAGACACACACAGAGACATACACCACACATGCACACAACACACACACAACACACAGACACACACACCACACATACACCACAGACCACAGATGCATACACACCACACAGACACACACCACAAAAACACACACCACACACACGCACACATCAAACACACACAACACACATCACACACACACTTGCACACACATACCAGACACCACGCACATGCACACACCACACACCCACCACAAACACACACCCATGCACACACCGCAGACACCACACACACTACACAACACAGACGTGCACACAAATACTACACACACACCTGCACACACACACCACACACACATTACACATACCACACACACCTCACACCCACCACACATATTGCATATATACACCACACATGTGCCCACACATATACCACACATGCATATGCACACACCACGGACCCCCACACAACCACATCAATGGCACACATACCACACAAAGCATATGCACATGCCACACACATCACATTATGCACACACCCACACACAGGCCCCCACACATACCACACTCACAGTCACACATACACATGTGCACACACAACACATGCATGCACACACACCAAATACACCACACACGCGCATGCTGACACACATCACACACATGCACATACACCACACACACTTGCACACTCATAAGCACACACAAGTGCAGACAAGTGTGCACATACACCCACCTGCTCACATACATACCATATGTGTCCACACACATGTGCACACACACACACCACACACACCCCAAACACATGCACACACCACATACATACATGAATGCACACACACACAACACACACACACACATGTGCGCACACACACAGACACACACATTTAGAGTTTTAGAAGGAAAGAATAGGTAGAGGAAATATTCAATAAATTAAAAGATGCAACACTTCTAGAATTAATGAAACACAATACTCGGGCTCAGGAAGTACACGAATTCCAATCAAGCTAAATAAAAATGAAAGCAGCACGTGTACACATGATTGTGAAACTGTCACAAACCAAAGATAAGCAGCAAGTCTTTAAAAAGTCAGAGTGAAGACAGATTACTTACACAGGAATGGTGTTTAGACTGACAGCTGAGAGTTGAGTAAAATCTTTAAAGTATTTCAGGAAAATAATTGTCAACTTTGAATAGTGTAGTTAGTGAAATCATCTTTCAAGAACAAGTACAAAATACATTTTCAGACAAACAGAACTAATAGGCTTTTCACCCTATTGCTTCAGGATTACTTCCAGAAGAAGAAAAATTATGCCCCAAATGAGGGTAATAAGGGTGGTGTGCCTGCAATGGAAGGACAATGAGAAATGAAAGTGTTTCACTTGTGGGTAAATCTAAGAAACATTAGTGATATGAAAGTGTAGCAATAACACCTGCATCATGGGAAAAAGAAACAAGATAAAAGAAAAATCCTGAACAAGAGTGTCGAAGTGATTAAGAAATCAAAAGTAGCATCCTATATTTCCCTGAATGTTCAGGATAGTTTTACGTTTACATCAATATGCATGTCAAATTTTCTAGATTAACCACACATAGAAGCAGAATATAAACCTTCTAATCTAGTAGGGGGAGAAATGGGGTAAGAACACTGAGTAGTTTGAAAGATGAAAAAAGGAGAAATAGATTTAAAAGAAAGTGTAGAAAACTGTGGAAAGTAGAAAGTTCCTCTTCAAAGTTTCCCTTCTTGTTAAAAAATAAACAATGAATGTTACAAATAATAGTTTCTTTTAAAGACGAACTTCTTCCAAAGCCTTCTTGCTTTTTGCTAATAACTCTTTGGTAAGCCCTGTCCTATGCAGTTGTTAGCTATAAAGGAAGGAGTACATTCTGTGTCCTTGTACTTTAACTGAGATATTTGGTCTGGACATTCTCAGGCATGTCCCAGCTCGCAGCCCATGCCCCTTATTTGAAAATGTTATTACTTTTCTAAGTCCTTTCGCAAGCAACTCCCTCTTTTCCCCTGTTCTTCATTGCTTTTACCTATTTAAGAAAGTTTTAAGCTATTGGCCAATCAGGTTTAGCTTAGACTCTGAGGTCCAGATTCAACCAATGGTGATAGGACACTGCAGTAAGGACCCAATGCATAAGGAATAAATAATCATGCCTTTCTTTTGTTCAGGGCACTCCCCTGGCAAGATTGCTGACAAGTAGCACCCTTTCTGCAGAAAGTAAAATTGCCTTGCTGAGAAAATTTATATTCAAGTGCTACTTCTTTTGCAGCACGAAAAATTTGCATATAACAAAAACATTCACAAATACACACAAAAAATAAATCCATTAAAATAAAAATTAAATGTCAGCAATTATAATTGATGTAAATGGAGTAAATACTCCAACTAAAAACAAAGATTTGGGGGATGAATTTTCAAAATCTCAACTATATACTCCTCAAGAGACAAATCTAAACCTAAAACATATTTAGAAATATTGATAGTAAAAGTATAGAAAATATTCACCAAATAAATATGAAGTGAATATCAGTCAAAATGCACAGTAAGACAAAATGCAAAAGAAGAGTTAATGGAGGAAACTACGTATGATAAATGTTCACCAGGAAGATCTAGAAGTTCTTAACTTGCAGACACCTAATAATACAACTCCAAAAATATGTGCAAAAGTTGACAGAAATACAAGGGGAAACTGAAAATTTGACCCTCATAGTATCTTCAGGCCATGTATACAAAAGCCCAAAATCATTTTTTTAATTGGGGCAGTGACTGTATATCATCTAGATTCACAAAAGTGGCTATTTCACTGGATTCAAACTTTGTTTACAAAATTGAACTCAGTAAAACCAGTTTGTGTGTGCAGATGGAATTTTAGGTCATATTAGTTCTTTGAGATCCTGTGATGCATTCAGTCATGGCTGGGGTTTGTCCCTGGCATCCTTCCCGCTCCTTCCCAGTCTTGTGGGCTCGTGGGCAGGTGGCTCGACATAGGAGAGGATGCAGGACTGAGGAGTGGGAGAGGGGACAGGCAGAATGCCCAGCAAGCGTCCCTTCTCCAGTCTGTCATGCCAAAGGCAACCAGGCTGGGTGCCACCGGGATCTTCACATTGCTGCATAGAATGACTTCAGAGGTCTCCATCACAGAGGCAGAAGAGGAGCATTTATCACAAGGACTCCCCTGACTGGTCCTGGGCTGCCTTGCCTGCTACGGACTTCTTCCAGGAAGTTCTTCAGGGTCCACAGGCGGGAGTACCAGGCAAGGGTACCTAAGGCGTCCACAACACAAGGTAAGAGAAGCCCCAGGGCAGTGTTAAAAGAAAAACCTGAATCAGAGGGAGAACGCTGCAGAGGCCACCAGGTATGGACCGCAGATGTCACTGGGGCAGCCCCTCCCCACTACTCGGAGGTGGCACCTGGCCCTGCCGCTCCTCGCTGCACTCCACCTCCGCCTCCTCGAACTTGGACTCAGGTTTGTATCCACCTCACTTTATCCCAGTCCTGGGCGAGCTGCGTTGGGTTTATGTCTGTATTTGACGAAAATGAGCTATTGGTACCTGTATTGGGGAAACATAGCATACAAGCAAGCAGCTTACAGCCGCAGTGGCAAAATTTTTTTTTTTTATGTCAGAAACTGAGAACTCTTGCAGTCTTTATCTCATCCCTTCTTCTCCAGACAGAAGATACCAAAATGTTGCAATCAAAGATCTCTTCACCTTATTGATAAAGCCACTAATAAGCCAAAATATCTGTCAACGTCAACTGCAGCATGTCAGACCAGTTCTATGGCTACAAGATGCCCCGTCTGATTGCCAAGGTTGAGCGCAAAGGAAATGGAATCAAGACAGTTATAGTTAACATGGTTGACGCTGCAAAGGTGCTTAATCGGCCTCCAACATATCCCACCAAATATTTTGGTTGTGATCTGGAAGCACAGACTCAGTTTGATGTTAAGAATGACCGTTACATTGTCCATTGATCTCATGAGGCGAATAAGACATGTTGGGTGGATTCATTAAAAAATTTGTTCTCTGTCCTGAACGTGAGAATCCTGAAACAGATATGCATGTCAATCCAAAGAAGGAAACAACAGATAATTCTTGTAAAGCCTGTGCCTATCGAGGCATGCTTGACACACATCATAAACTCTGCACATTCATTCTCAAAAGCCCGCCCAAGAATAGTGACAGTGGTGCAGGAAAGAAAGAAAAGGAGAAGAAAAATAGAAAGGGCAAAGACAAGGAAAATGGCTCCATATCCAGCAGTGAGACGCCGCCACCACCAAATGGAATTAGTCCTCCTCCACATACAGTGGAAGCAGAGGAGGAGGATGCCTGGGGAGAAAATACAACTGAGAAAGCTCAAAGGCATCCAATGGATGAAATCAGTGACCATGCAAAGGTTCTGACTCTCGGTGATGGTTTGGAGAGAACAGTTGAGGGGTGGGTCAATATCATCTTTGATTTTGCCAAGAAGAAGAAAGAAGAGGCTATTATTGATTCATCTGACAAAGAAATTGTTACTGAAGCAGCAAGACTGGATGTGAAAGCCATGGGCCCTCTTGTTCTGACTGAAGTTCTTTTTAATGAGAAGATTAGAGAACAAATTAAGAAATATAGGCGCCATTTCCTACTATTTTGTCTCAACAAAAAAGCTCAAAGGTGCCTTCTTCATGGTTCGGAGTGTGCGGTAGCAACGCATCAAGCTCAGCATATCTCCACGATTCCATGTATCTTGAAAGAGTTGTACGAAGCAGACCTTTTAGAAGAGGCCAGCATCAGCTGGTTGGAAAAGATCTCTAAGAAATACGTCTCCAAAGAACTTGCCAAAGAGACTCGTGTCAAAGCAGAACCATTTATGAAATGGTTAAAGGAGGCAGAGGAAGAATCCTCTGGTGGTGGAGAAGAAGATGAAGATGAGAACATGGAGGTGGTGTATTCGAACAGTGCAAGTGTGCCGAAAGTTGAAACCATAACGTCCGACAGCAAGGATGACAGCACTCATATGGATGCCATTTAAGGGGATGGATGCAACCTAGCTTAACCGTGTAATGCTGCAAACTTTTTTCCGTTATCAGCCAGAAGTGCAACATGTATGTGCAAAAGCTAAAATAGCTTAATGTCATGCTACACTTTACACTAGAAATTATTACTCTGAGTGGTCTCTAAGCCCAATGAGACATACATCAGTGAGCAGATGTAGTTTGCTTATTTATAGCATGTTTCTTTTTGAAGAACTAGTGGTGGACACATTTGGATCACATTTATACAGTTACCAATATCAAATAAAGATTTGATACTGGTCATTCTACAGGGCTTTGGCTCTGAATGACTTTGAAGCTGAAGCTGGCTCCGTTTTAAAATGTTGTGCCATCATTTCTCCTGATGAGCATTCTTGGAGCCTGCTGGCTACTGTTAGGTGCTGAGGCTGTAAAGAAGTCTTCAACAGAATGTAAAGCAAGCTTACTTGTAATTACCTTATTCAGCACATTAAGAAATACAGTACTAAAGTTTTATCTCTAGTCCCACTAAAGTTTTATGTCTAGTCCCTCAAATTGGCATCTGGTAATGTACCTTGTGAGGTAGACTGATAATCAAATGACAATGAAACATCTTACCAAGAAGTAAATATGACCTGAGTGTCCTATAAATTAAGAGCAGGTTTTGAAACTTGGAGAGTTGTTTTCTCATTTCACATACACTTGCCTCAAATCATAGTCTTTGAAGTGGTATGCATTGCAGATTGGATGAGCCACGGAAATTATTACATTAACAAGCGTTTTGTGTATGTAATAGTTACTTTGTATTGAGAGAACATGCTTTGGGGTGCAGTGAAACAATAAACTGATTTTATTTGGAAGACGCAGGGAAGGGTACACTTACTAGCAACCTAAGCATAATTTTTCAGCTTTTGCCCTTAGGGTTTAAATTACAATTCCAAAATATTAGACATACTATATCTTCTTGCTCAGTATGGCTTTTTCCCGCTTATTGTTTGTTCTTTAATGCCTTTTACATTTGAACACATAGCTTGTGGTTTTTAGATTTTGGTTACTATCTTGCCAAATATAAGTGTTACTGTGCTTCATACTTGATTTTCTTTTTCTTTTTCTTTTTTTTTTTCAGAATGTCTTATGTAAAAAGAAAGCTAAAAGTATACTTCTAAGTCAGAGCCTCTGTTTTGCTGTAAGGTTTGGGATATTTTTTACCTCACATTGAATATAACCAGGCACCTGCGTGCAGGTGACAAGGACCTGACAGAGCCCATGCAGGGCTTTAGATCTGAACACACACGAGTCAATAACTTGCTTGTGAACGCCTTGCCTGATCTGAACTCAGTACGGATTTTGACTGTGTTTGAGTAATCATCTTCAAGGCTAAACGTGGCAGTTTTCCCTTTTCACAAAGGTGCATGGTGGGAATTGAAAATCAATAGGGTTAATTTTGGAGCGGTGGTTTATATCATTCGCCTCTTTGTTTTTCTGTAACTTATCTCACAGATGAGCCCTTAATAACAAATAGGTGTAAAAAATTGAAAGGATACAAACGTTTGATGTAATAAACCCTTGTTGGCTTAATATTTTGAGGAATTGAAACCTAGCAGTCTTACTGGAGAGACAAGAATTGGCCTCCAGCTGCCTTTGATAGATTCTGGTGCAAGTGGAGCAGGAGTCATATACGTGGAGGGAATGTGCTTTGTCACACCAAAGACGATTTTTTTTCTTCAAACTCAATGTGGCATAGGTTTAAAATTCTTTGCCTCGAGGCCAATTTGCCTTCATTAACTGGAACGGGTTTCTCTGTGTTGGTCAGCCTGGTCTCAAACTCCCAACCTCAGGTGATCAGCCCACTTCAGCCCCTCAAAGTGCTGAGATCACAGACATGAGCCACCGTGCCCGCCCACATGATATTTTTTAAAGCATTTTTGTTTCATGTGAATTTAACCCTATATTGGGAAAGCGGTGTTAATATTTTAATAGTATTATTATTTTATTTTTACATACTAATTTTACAAAACTTAGAATATATTTTAAAAATTGAAAGTATCCATTTGTCCATTATCTGAAAAATATTATGACTATTTTAAAGAATTTTTGTCTTTCGTCTTTGTTGTTTTCTCTTCCAGTATCACACACACTACTTTACCTCCTCCGTAGGGATGACCTGTTGTTGGCTGATCAGCACTCATACCCCTTTCTTTTTTGTTGGAAGGGGCCCAATTACATTAGTTAATGGGAAAAAAGAGTGTAGGGGAGGCTGGCCACAACCTCAGCACCAGAGGTGAATTTTGATTGGACTAAACCAAACAAGGAATTCTGCCCACCTGGCTGGTGATGATTGGCTTAGGCCTGAGCGTGACATGCAGTGCTGACCAGTGAGGAGTGAGAGGGCGCCTGCTTGCAGGTAGGGTTTACTCCTCGATGAAGTGTGGCCATAAGTCGTCTCCACTGCAATGTCTGGACTTCGGGAGCCTCCAGTGACCTTGCAGGGACAAGCGTGAGAAGAAAAGTCTAAGGATGGCAGGCAGAAGGACAGAAGTCACCTGGGTTCCTGATGATGGCCTGCAGCAGCTCAGAGTTCTCATCTCCAGCCTCCAGTCACACAGGACAGTGGTTGTCCTCTGTGGGGCGTGGCCATTTGAGCTCCCGGTTCTTGCACAGCCAGGGAGAGAGCAGCCCAATGATACACCAGGCTCGGCTCTTAGGATGACGTTTTGCTGTGTTCCTAGAGTTCTTCTCAAGTTATTGATGCAGACCATTCCAGCAAGCTATGATTCCATCATTTACTTTCTTGGTCCCATATTGTCAAACTTTCTCATTTGGTTTTGATATTAATAGAAATGTCAATAATTACAGTAATAATAGCTAATATTTAATTTGCTCCTTCCTCGGTTACACCAGAAACTGAGCCAAATACATTACTCATGTCATCTCGTTTAATCTTCAGAAAAATGGGTATTCTGCTGTTATCCCCATTTTACAGTTGAAAAACTGAGAGATCAGAGAGGTGGTGTAATTCATCTAAGGTCACGTGGCTAGAGGTGGCAAAGCCACCTCAAAGACGATGCTCTCATATCATATATGTACATATACACACGTATGTATATACACATTATAAAATATTAATCTGCCGCATTGAAGAGAGTTCCTTACGTCAAGAAAGCATCCTTCCATTTTTACTTCAGTGCTTCTAGCCCCTTTCTCTTGTGCCACTTCCTATTTCTCCTTTCTCTTTGTAATATTACAGAGATTTGTGCACTACTTGTATATTTTGCATGCAAAACCAGATGTTAAGGTTATTATTTCATTTTCATTCTGCTTTACAAATGTGTTTATTTCTAATTCTATCTTTTTTCTTTTATTTAGGGAATTTTTTACTCAGCAACAGTTTGTGAGCATGATTCCACATTAATAAATACGCCGTTCTGTTACAATTTTAGTGGTTGCCTGTATTGCCTAAGTATGATGTTTATAAGTTGCAGAGCTTACTGGTTCCCTCTGCCAAACTCAATCCTGGATGAGCTAAGGAAGAGGGATGGATGCAACAACTGAGGAGTAAACATGAGGAAATGTATTGAGAACCCTCTGGGAGGCAGAACCAGTGTGGCCACAGAGCCCAGAGCCAGGGCTGCTGTCTCTACACAGGAAAGACAGAACTTCTAGAGTTCACACCAACTGTTCTTTATTGGTGCAGTCTCAGGCCTGTTATGATCTGTATTAGCCAGAATGAATACAAGAGCATAGGGCTCATCATTTTCTGTTGCTACAGGAAGGAATTGGTGATGTTTAATTTTCACAAGAGGATGGTACTAGCATAGGCCAAAGAGAGCGAGCTTCTGTTTTCTCACCAGCAGAGATGGGAGCATGGAGCCTAGCCTGACAGATCACCGTGCCAGCTTCCAGAGAAAGCCCTCACAAGTAGCAGTTCCACGCTTTCTTTGCACTGCCCTGTCTTCTCCATGAAGCGCCATATTTTCCCATCAGCTAGAAGGTATCTCTCTGGATTCTGAACTCCAAAGAGTGAATCAGACACAGCTGCTGTCCCAGAGGAGTTGACAAAGCAACACGTGGTAAGAGCTGCAGCCTGAAGAATGAATAAAATGCACCACATACCCCCAGATTGGGAAGGGGTGAGGGGAGAGCCCGGCCGAAGTCAGAAATAGCGTAGATGTGCACGTGTATAATAAAGGCCACACACCCCCAGATTGGGAAGGGGTGAGGGGCGAGCCCAGCTGAAATCAGAAATAGTGGAGATGTGCAGATGTGTAATAGAGGGAATGCCTTGAGAAGCAAACACACCACAAAACGTTTATTTTTAAATAATAAATAAATGGCAAAGGAAGTGCAGGAAAGGAAACATTCACAAAATCCAAGTCACTAAAGTGCTTTCAATCATAAATTTTAAAAGACCAAAAGCCTGGTCTGACTTAAAACACTGTTTCCAGATATCCACCAATTGTTTAAACATGATCTCATGCTATTTCTGAAGGAAATGCAGAAGTGCCCAGAATATGGCTTTCTTTGAGTCCCAGGGTGCAGAGCCTATCAAGTGACACTCAGGAAAACAAAATTGCTGCCTAACATGAAAATTGAAATGCCCAAGACCAAGTTCAAAGTAAAGACAATATAATTCATTCATGTGTTTGCATGGAGTCTTCACTACAATAATATCAGATTTTTCTGGAGGTTAAAGAATTTTATACTTCCTAATTGAGAATGAGGAGATAAGACCTAACCTATTCATCTACACAGTACATTGAAACACACATCTCAGATGATGCCTGGCACTGAAATGCTTTTTAAACTTCAGTTCCTCCCTGCTCAAGCTACAAAAGAGAATCAAAAGTTCTGCACCAAGTTAACTGGTTCAAGTGCCATTAAGAAACCGTTTCCATTCTAGAATGAAATAGAATTTTCCTTAGGTCACTCATCAGTCCTCTTAAAGCAAGTGGCATTGTATTTTATCTTGACATTGTAAGAAGAAAATCAAACTGAGAGTATATGTCTTGGACCATTTTTGTCTTTCGGAAAATGCCAGTGAGGGATATGCACATTTTCAACCTTTGACGGTGAAAGCTGCTGGTCTCATATGGCTCCCATCTTCCCTGGCTGGGACCCCTCTGGCGCTGTGGAGTTGGACTCTCCTTGAGCACCAGCCCCTGGGTGCACTTTCTTCGTCTCCTGTCGGGCAGAGCTGGAGAGGTCCATCGCCACATCTTCCAAGGCATTCTCAGGGCCCACTTTATCTGAGCCTCTCTGTGGTCCTGCTTGACTCTGGTTAGAACCTTGTTTGAAGTGGTCAGAGCCCCAG